CCAACATCCATGCCCCACGACACACTGCTGTCCAAGCGTCTCAGAGCGCTCTTCCAGTAACGTGGTGTGTGAGGTAAAAGTGTGAGAAGTGTGTGTGTGTGAATGACTCACAAAGATTTGTTAGATAAAAAAATTACAGAGCAAGAACATCATTGAAGATACTACTGTCCAAGTAAAATGAAACTATGTATTTTCAATCATTTGAAATCATCCTCACATATTTTTACTCGAAACAGAACCATATCTTGCATAACCCAACTCCTAAAACTCATAGTTTTTGCATTCTAATGCTAAAACCACCAACTGACTTGTCACAAAATTACAACATAGAGGAGAATGTGCTTCTTCTCTTTTGTTGTGTTGATATTTGGGGTATGCCACTACATTTCTGTGAAAATGACCAACAACAAAAAAAACTCAAGCAGCAGTGTATTTAAAGGCTCTTATCTCTGTCTTCGTTTTACATCTCCAAGAGAAAGAGCACATGGTATGATATGAAGTCTCAAACTTGATACATTTTATATTTTGATCTCTAGTCATATAACCTGGAGGAAAACAATTCTTCATACAGATCTTAAGATATATTGTCCTATTTCTTAAAACTTTATTTCATGTGCACTGTACTGTAATTGATAAGTACTTAGTACTTACAACAGCAATACATTTCACTGATCAAATGGATCAGTAAAAACAACACATTTACTCGTAAATTACCATTACAAGCTCACTACAGTGTGTGGTGGCAGGTAGCCTAGCGGTTAAGAGCATTGAGCCAGTAACCGAAAGGTTGCTGGTTCAGAGCTGACGCTGACTTGGCGAAAAATCTGTGGATGTCCCCTTGACCAAATATGATCCCTTTTTTTTCTATGAAGAGGGTGATGAAGGAGCTGTGGATACTTCTACTGATCTGCTGGGCAGGCACACTCCAGTGCCTGGCAGGGAGTTTGAGGGGAAAGATTCCTGGCACGCCACAGGAATGTGAGCAGGCCGAGTTTGTCCCTGGTTACAATCTGGCAGGGGAAGGTTTCGACATTGTGAAGATGCAGCGAAAAAGTTATTATGTGATCGACATGGAAAATTGGAAGAGGGAGGGAGACACTTGCGAGTTAGTTGTAAATCTCTATTTGGATGGAGCAAAGCAGAAGCTTCCAGCAGCCATGGCACACTGGAGAGCCCTCACCAACTGCAAGCGGGAGGTCTCAAGCAGCATCTATGAATCCAGTGAGTCCCTCATCAATACCACAACTTCTGCTGTGACTAACAACTGGAAACTTGGCCTGGACCTTGCGATGAATGAAGTAAAGTTTAAGACAATCATTGGAGGGACAGATTCCAGAGAAGCAACATATGCCATTGCAAAGTCGAAGCAGGACAGATATAGTTTTACCAGGCATGAAGTCCATTGTAGCATCTACAGGTGAGGCACTCAACTTTAGTGACTAAACTCAAATTTGCAGTAAGTATAGTATTTTATAAATGGATAAAACGATATAACAAGCAGAATAATACATCTTTAAATACAAATAATTAGAACATGGCTTTTTTGGCGGGAGGTTGTTGTTTTGGCGGATGGTTGTTGTGGTTGGTCCTGTGTTCTCTCTGGCGTCCTTTCCCCCTTGCGGCAGATGTGGATGCGGGTGCGTTTGCACGCTCGGCCCATTTCTTCCGCAGTCAACCATGTGGTGTGCATTTTTGTGTTTGAAAAGGTGCGGCGTTAAGTGAGTGAGAGGGGAAATGGTTGCATATCCCAGTGCCGACCGGGGGTCTATGAGCAGGGGTAGTGAGAGAGAGAGCTTTCAATTTTGTGTAGATGAGGGATATACATTTTTAAATATAGTATACATCTAATCTAATTATTCATTGTCCTATCATGATGGAAAGATCCCTAACCCTATAACCTGGACACCCACCTGAGCGACCCATACACCAAAGAGAAGTTCCCATCTATTTTATGGACCTGCTGTGAATATGCAGCCTAAACAGAGAAATAAATGCGGTCAGAGACCTACTTGAGCAGCACCGCCCCCTCAAGATTCTGAGCCTGCCTGGCAGGGTTGGTCCTACAAAGCCAGAGCCCCCTGATGGGAGAGCATAATATACAAGGAAATTCTCAAAGCTGCTAATGAGAACCTTGACAACCTTTTACCTAGCCGGTGGGGATTCCGGTGGGGTACGCCCACCCAGGTAGTGGCAGTGCTGGCAACACTGGCTGCAGTAACCCATGGGGAGGGGGTCACACTCGGACAATCAGAGAGGGGGTTTATCATTGTGGCCCAGGTGGCACAAAATAATCAAAGGTCTGACCGCATGGAGATGCTTGGGAAAATGGTTACAACAAGGGATCAGAGTGTTTGTGTCTCAGGTGAAGAGGGTGGATCTGATCTCCATCACCTAGGACTTGACATAGATTAAGTAGATTAATCAAATCTCACATTGTTATCAATTTCTGCTCAATCTGCATGCTTTCTCAATCAGCTTTAACTGTATGTGCACTCGTAGATCAAGTTATTTCTCGAGTTGGGCTCTGGGATATAACAGCCGTTGAGTATCGGATTTTATGGTGGATTGTGGAGGAGGGGGGTTGAGTGTGTTGGAGTATGTGAGTATGTGCGTGTGTGCTTGTCTGGCATCTGTTGTGGGGGGGTGGGGATGTTGGGGGGGGGGGGATGGACCGCAGGAATTATTTGCTAGGATAATAATTGCTTGTCAATGAATTAAATGTAATACAATGGCAATCCGGGTTATATGTTAGAATCCTATGCGTGAACTGCCGACATTATTACGCATATTAATTGATAATGATGGAAAATAGGATATGCATAATAAAAAATAAAAAAAATAGTTATATAGATATATATATAGAGAGGTGAAAGCATTGGAAATGCTTTTGGCGGTTAATCTGCTTCTGTATTGTGGGTGGCACTGTGTGCTGTTTTCGATGGATGGGTCCTGGCCTCTCGGGGCCTTAGGGATACGGAGGGACGTGGGTGGGATGCTGATCACTGGGATGACGGCTCAACTTGGGATGGGGAGGGGCTTTAGCGGGGGAATTAGTGGAGAACAATTGAAGGGTTACTCCGTAGCAATGCAAATATCACGGTACAGCTATATGGACACTCAATCATTACGCTATTTTTTATTGGTAAATTTACAAACATATATAATGATAAATAGACTTGAAACTTGTATCTCATTATGGTGTATGGTGAAATAAGTATAGCCAGTTATAATTGTAATGGCTTAGCTGATAATAACAAAAGAAGAACAATATTTACATGGCTCAAAGAGAAGGAATATAATATCTATTGTATACAGGAAACTCATTCAACAATTCGAGATGAAGTCGATATACTTCTCCCATGGGCAAAGAAATTCAAAAGGGGTGATGATATTAATTAATAGTAATTTCGATCCGAATGTGCAAATTGTCCAAATAGATACGCAAGGTAGATGGATTATTTTAAATATGGTATTGGACCATAAACAGATATGGCTCATTAACCTTTACGGACCAAATAATGATGATCCACAATTCTTTGACAATATATATAATAAATTATCAAGCCTGCAAGCAACTCAAGACAATATTATTATGGTGGGGGATTATAATACTGTTTTAAATAGCTCAATGGACCGAAAAGGAAATCACACCACAAACAATCACCCACATGCTCTTAAGGAAATTGTGAATGTCATGGATACATTAGAACTAGTAGATATATGGAGGCTTAAATATGCTGATCTAGTGAGATATACATGGCGGAGACTGAATCAAGCTAGTCGTCTTGACTTCTTTCTTATCTCATTCTCGTTGGCACCAAAAGTTAAAAAAGTGTTGATAGGGGACAGAATGCGGTCGGACCATCATATAATAGGCATATACATTACTCTGACTGAATTTCCACGTGGGCGAGGATATTGGAAATTTAATCAAAGCCTATTGGATGATAATTTATTTATAATTAGAACAAAGGAATTTATAACTGACTTTTTCCAACATAACATAGGTACAGCGAATCCCCTTATTGTATGGGACACCTTTAAATGTGCCTTTAGAGGCCATGCAATTCAGTACTCATCTCGAAAACAAAAGCAATTTAGGTCAAAAGAGTTTATACTAAGAAAGGAAATAGAAAGTCTAACAGAACAGATAGATGGCAATAAAAACTGTAACATAGAGGCTCAGAATAAATTAGAGGAAAAACAAAAAGAAATGGAAAAACTTATTCAAGAAAGATCAAGTGTAATATATTATAAAAATAAAGCAAACTGGATGGAATATGGGGAAAAATGCACAAAATTCTTTTTTAATCTTCAACATAGGAATGCTACCAAAAAGAACTTAATGAAACTGAGTCACCCATAATTCACCAAATGATATTTTGAAGGAAGAAACAAAGTACTTTAAGCATATGTTTTCTTTTCAGTTGCCTCCATCTCCTCTAACTGAAGCTAATTGTAGAGATTTTTTTTCTATTGATAATGTCAAATTAACAGCCACACAGAAAGACTCATGTGAAGGTGAAATTACAGAGGAGGAACTTCTGGATGCAATTAAAGACTTTAAGTCCGGGAAAACTCCAGGGTTGGATGGCATACCAATCGAGGTATACCAAACCTTTTTTGATATACTAAGAGGACCGTTATTAGCATGTTTTAACCACTCCTATGTAAATGGTAGATTATCTGACACTCAAGAAGAAGGTCTGATCTCATTATTACTGAAACAGGATACAAGTGGAAAATATAAAGATCCAGTCCATTTACAAAATTGGAGGCCCCTTACACTTCAGTGTTGTGATGCAAAAATCCTAGCAAAATGTATAGCGCATAGAATTAAAAAGGTATTGTCGGATATTATTCATTCTAATCAGACAGGTTTTTTACATGGAAGATACATTGGAGATAATATAAGGCAAGTATTGGAAACAATAGAACACTATGGAAAATATGGGAAACCAGGCCTGCTATTTATAGCAGACTTCGAAAAGGCATTTGATAAAGTTCGACTGGGGTTTATATATAAATGCCTGGAGCATTTCAATTTTGGAGAATCTCTTATATAATGGGTCAAAATCATGTATAGTAACCCTAGGTGTAAAATAGTAAATAATGGCTATTTCTCAGAAAGTTTTAAACTGTCAAGAGGAGTGAAACAAGGTTGTCCACTATCGGCATATCTATTTATTGTGGCCATCGAGATGTTAGCTATTAAAATCAGATCCAATAATAATATCAGAGGATTAGAAATACAGGGCTTAAAAACAAAGGTGTCATTGTACGCAGATGATTCATGTTTTCTTTTAGATCCACAACTAGAATCCCTCCACAGCCTCATAGAGGATCTAGATACATTTTCTAACCTCTCTGGATTACAACCAAATTATGACAAATGTACTATATTACGTATTGGATCACAAAAAAATAAAATGTTTACATTACCATGTAGTTTACCAATAAAATGGTCTGATGGTGATGTGGATATACTCGGAATACATATCCCAAAGGAAATAAATGATCTCACTTCAATAAATTTTAATAGAAAGTTAGCAAAAATAGATAAGATCTTACTACCATGGAAAGGAAAATACCTGTCAATTTGTGGAAAAATCACCCTGATTAACTCTTTAGTATTATCCCAGTTTGCCTATTTGCTTATGGTCTTGCCTACGCCTAGCAAACAGTTTTTTAAATTATATGAGAAAAAAATATTCAATTTTATTTGGAACGGCAAGCCAGACAAAATTAAAAGAGCATATTTATATAATGAATATGAATTCGGAGGACAGAAATTATTAAATATTAAAGCATTAGACCTATCACTAAAATCTTCAGTCATCCAAAGTTATACTTAAATCCGAACTGGTTCTCAAGCAAATTAGTAAGATTGTCTCACCCACTGTTCAAGAAAGGCCTTTTTCCCTTTATTCAGATTACAACCTCTCACTTTCAGTTATTTGAAAAGGAAATAATCTCCCAAATGTCACTATTTCTAAAACAAGCCATAGAAAGTTGGTTGCAATTTCAATTTAATCCTCCAGAAACGACAGAACAAATAATGCAACAAATATTGTGGTTAAATTCAAATATACTAATTGACAAAAAACCTTTATTTTTTGACAGAATGTTTAAAAAAGGTATAATCTTCGTAAATGATATCATCAGTAGGACTGGTGGAGTTATGTCGCACATGCAGCTAACAAAAACATATGGAAATGTCTGCTCTACCCAAAATTACAACCAAATAATTGCAGCCTTACCGCAAAAGTGGAAGAGGAAAGTTGAAGGGGGAGAAAGTAAGGAACTTGTCTGTCGGCCTTGCATTAAAGAACATAATTGGTTAAGGAAAACTGTGATAAATAAAAAAGTATATCAGTTTCACTTAAGGACCAAAGGATTGACAGCCGTCCCATATAGATTGCAAAATAGTTGGGAAGAGATCTTTGACGTACCGATCCCATGGCATAGTGTTTATGAACTGACACGCAAAACGACACCGGATTCAAAAATTAGAATCTTTCAATTTAAATTATTATATAAAATTCTTGCTACCAATAGAATGTTATTTATATGGGGGATACAATCTTCCCAGCTCTGCAGATTTTGCTGTGAAGAGACAGAATCATTAGATCATTTGTTTTGGTTCTGTCCATTTGTAGCTTGTTTTTGGACACAGGTCCAGGAATGGCTAAAGGATTGCAATATTTACCTGGAACTAACCTTGCAGATAGCATTACTGGGTGATCTGAAAAGTCATAGTCAATCAATCAATAATATAATAATACTTTTAGCAAAAATGTTTATTTTTAATTCACAATCTGTAGAAGCAATGAGAATAGAAAGGTTCAGAACTTTTGTAAAACATCACAGTACGGTTGAAATATATATGGCAAATAGAAATCCTATATGGATGGTGTTAAGAGATAGATGGGAGGTATTGAATAGAGTTGAAGGATGGGACTAATAACAAATAACAACAAATAATAACAAAGATAGCTAATAATGTAAGCATACTGTGTCCATAATAAGTATATAGGTTGTATGTTGGGAGCTTTTGGGAAAGAGCACAGTTAGAAAGATATGGCATTTAGAAGCAAACCGGATGGACATCATGAAAATGATCGGAGAGGTTGAGAGTAGAAGAAGTTCAGGAGCAAAAAAAAATAAAAAAATAATAAATAAATAAATAAATATATATATATATAGAATTATTGTAAAATTAACTCTGTCCATAAGGTGTAGATAGTAAGTATAAACCGGAAGTAGAGGCCTGGGCGTTGTTGTTCACTAATTTACTCCAAGTAGGGAAAGGATGGTGGGGTTGAAAAGTAATAAAGGGGAATATATATATAAAAAAAAAAAAAACATGGGGGATTGGAAGTGATGCAGACAATTACATTGATAGAAGATACAATCTATCTGCAATATTAAGCTGATCCATTCCCCCCCCCCAAAAAAAAGAAATAAAAATAAAAAATAAAACTTAACTCAAAGATTCTTAAAGAGACTCTAATATGAGGCTAATACAGTGGGGGGGAAAAGTATTTAGTCAACCACCAATTGTGCAAGTTCTCCCACTTAAAAAGATGAGAGAGGCCTGTAATTTTCATCATAGGTACACGTCAACTATGACAGACAAAATGAGAAAAAAAATCCAGAAAATCACATTGTAGGATTTTTAATGAATTTATTTGCAAATTATGGTGGAAAATAAGTATTTGGTCAATAACAAAAGTTTCTCAATACTTTGTTATATACCCTTTGTTGGCAATGACACAGGTCAAACGTTTTCTGTAAGTCTTCACAAGGTTTTCACACACTGTTGCTGGTATTTTGGCCCATTCCTCCATGCAGATCTCCTCTAGAGCAGTGATGTTTTGGGGCTGTCGCTGGGCAACACGGACTTTCAACTCCCTCCAAAGATTTTCTATGGGGTTGAGATCTGGAGACTGGCTAGGCCACTCCAGGACCTTGAAATGCTTCTTACGAAGCCACTCCTTCGTTGCCCGGGCGGTGTGTTTGGGATCATTGTCATGCTGAAAGACCCGGCCACGTTTTATCTTCAATGCCCTTGCTGATGGAAGGAGGTTTTCACTCAGAATCTCACGATACATGACCCCATTCATTCTTTCCTTTACACGGATCAGTCGTCCTGGTCCCTTTGCAGAAAAACAGCCCCAAAGCATGATGTTTCCACCCCTATGCTTCACAGTAGGTATGGTGTTCTTTGGATGCAACTCAGCATTCTTTTTCCTCCAAACACAACGAGTTGAGTTTTTACCAAAAAGTTATATTTTGGTTTCATCTGACCATATGACATTCTCCCAATCCTCTTCTGGATCATCCAAATGCACTCTAGCAAACTTCAGACGGGCCTGGACGTGTACTGGCTTAAGCAGGGGGACACGTCTGGCACTGCAGGATTTGAGTCCCTGGCGGCGTAGTGTGTTACTGATGGTAGGCTTTGTTCTGGGATTTTTGCTCACCGTTCTTGTGATCATTTTGACCCCACGGGGTGAGATCTTGCGTGGAGCCCCAGATCGAAGGAGATTATCAGTGGTCTTGTATGTCTTCCATTTCCTAATAATTGCTCCCACAGTTGATTTCTTCAAACCAAGCTGCTTACCTATTGCAGATTCAGTCTTCCCAGCCTGGTGCAGGTCTACAATTTTGTTTCTGGTGTCCTTTGACAGCTCTTTGGTCTTGGCCATAGTGGAGTTTGGAGTGTGACTGTTTGAGGTTGTGGACAGGTGTCTTTTATACTGATAACAAGTTCAAACAGGTGCCATTAATACAGGTAACGAGTGGAGGACAGAGGAGCCTCTTAAAGAAGAAGTTACAGGTCTGTGAGAGCCAGAAATCTTGCTTGTTTGTAGGTGACCAAATACTTATTTTCCACCATAATTTGCAAATAAATTCATAAAAAATCCTACAATGTGATTTTCTGGATTTTTTTCCCTCAATTTGTCTGTCATAGTTGACGTGTACCTATGATGAAAATTACAGGCCTCTCTCATCTTTTTAAGTGGGAGAACTTGCACAATTGGTGGCTGACTAAATACTTTTTTCCCCACTGTATAATGCTTTTCATTAATATTGTGTAGCCATTGCATGGTCATGGGTTCACATACAATACCATCACATGCATACCAATTGTGTTCAACTTAACTGCTATTAAAGACTAAGATAATACCCATTATTGCTAAATGTTAACCAAACCATTGTCACTTTTTTCCTCAGATATAGCCTGGTCGAAGATCCTCCTCTTCACAAACAATTTCTGAATTCGCTGAAGAAGCTCCCCGCTGTTTATGACCTCAATTCTAAGCCAGCCTATAAAATCCTGATAGACATGTATGGCACTCACTTCACCTCTCAAGTCAACCTGGGAGGGAAAGTGAGCGCTGTAACTTCCATCAAGTCTTGTCAGGCGACTATGAACGGACTGACAGACACTGCAGTGAAGGACTGTCTGGATGTCGAGGCCTCCTTGTCATATAAATTCAGCGCTAGTTTGACCGCCGAGCTTCATTACTGTAATGAAATAAAGAAGAAACTTGGCACCAACCAAAGTTTCAGCAGAATGTTCAGTGACCGCCACTCGGAAATTATAGGAGGGGCAGTAAATGGAGGCGACCTGCTGTTCTCAGGTGGGTTGGACGCAAATGCCTACAAAGACTGGCTGGAGTCCTTGAAAACAATCCCTGACGTGGTGCACTACTCCCTTAAGCCCCTTCACTTCCTGTTGAAAAGTGGACATCCTGCTCTACCTGGGCTGAAGAAAGCAGTGGAGGAGTACATCCTGGAAAACGCCCTGATAATGAAATGCTCAGAGTCCTGTCAGATTGGTACGAGGACCAGCCCAAGGGATCACTGTGCCTGTGTCTGCAACAGTGATCAGAGCATCAAGTCCAACTGTTGCCCTGCTGGGAAAGGCCTGGCCAGGCTGCAAGTCTATGGTTTGAGAGCAAAGGGCCTATACGGGGACATCTCAACCGAAACGGATGGCTTTGTTGAGATCTCATATGATAAACAAGTCAAAATCACTGAGGTGATCAAAGACGATGACAATCCCGTTTGGCCAGAAAGCTTTGAATTCGGACCCATCCATATCAACTTTGCCACCAAACTCACTTTCAAGGTGTATGACACAGACAAAGTTTGGAACAAAGATGTCCTGGGTGAATGTTCCTTTGATCTGCGTAGAGGAAATGTGAGTGACGTCTGTGTGTTCCAATATGGCACATTCTTCTTCTCCTATACGGTGCAATGTGCTCCCAGCCTTGGAGGCTCTCGCTGTGAAGAGTACATCCCCTCTCCTATGAGCGCCTCCCTGGCCAAGGTCTTCCACTCCAGAAATGGCATGCTGGCTGGGGAGAAGTGTCGACTTGAGTTGGGCAGGAATCACACCAATGATGCAGTTGACAAGTTTGGCTTAAAGAGATGTCATGGTGAATAAGGGATGAGGTGATCGACGAGATGGTGACTGCTTCGCATTGCATAGTTCAGCATTTCAGACGGTCCCTTTGGCCAAAGGCATGATCATGGTTAGATGATTAATGTGAAATTCAACTAGATTGAAATTATATTATGTGTCATGTGTTTCTGTTCGATCTGTGACATTGATAGTATGAGGAATTTACTTTGCACTGGTTTCTTTTTTGCATTAAAGCACTGACAAAGACAAAATATAATGTTTCAGTTTTTTCTTTGTTCAAAGCATAATATAATTATAATTGCATGGGATTTGCTTTACAATTTTGACGTGACAGATATTGTGAAAAACCATTTTTTTATCAGCTCATCTTGTATCAGTTCAAATCATTTTCCAAAAAATTATTCCCAATAATTACATCTAAGGCTTTTGCTAGAGCTCGTTTGTTATCATGCTGAGCTTATCAGATATTAAAACAATGAAAGATGACATGTAACTCATGACATGACAAACCAGTCTTGCTATATATACAGCTCTGGAAAATATTAAGAGACCACTGCAAATTATGACAGCCATTCCATTCCAGTGTCTGTTGAATTCCAACACAGGCACACCTCAGTCTACTGAATTAGGTACTGATTAGGTGATCACATGAACCAAATCTTATTTAACGAGGAAAAGTATAAAAACCGCTGCTGTGGTCATCACTATCCTCTTGCAATAGGACCAGCTGGATGGCAAAAATCATACAATGTGATTTTCTGGATTTTTGTTTTAGATTCCGTCTCTCACAGTTGAAGTGTACCTATGATAACAATTACAGACCTCTACATGCTTTGTAAGTAGGAAAACCTGCAAAATCGGCAGTGTATCAAATACTTGTTCTCCCCACTGTATGTGTATATGTATGTATGTGTATGTATATGTGTGTATATATATATTTGCGGTGGAAAAAACATATGGGGGATTGGAAGTGATGCAAACAATTACATTGATGGAAGTTACAATCTATCTGCAATATTAAAGCTGATCTACCCCCTAAAAAGAAAAGAAAAGAAGAACAAAAAAATGTCCTACCTCACTAATGCTCTTGTGGCTGAATGTAAGCAAATCCCCGCAGCAATGTTCCAACATCTAGTGTAAAGCCTTCCCAGAAGATTGGAGGCTGTTATAGCAGCAAAGGGGGGTACCAACTCCATATTAATGCCTGTGATTTTGGAATGAGCAGGTGTCCACATAACTTTGGCCAGTGTATCTCTAGTGCCTAGTTGCCACTGGAAAAACTTCAGCCTAACTGGCAGGGTGGTTAGGACTAGCCACTAGTTCACCTTTTGAGCTATTTATGTATTGATGGTTAGAGTTACAGTCTGACCCCTTAATCCTAATTTTTTGGGGATGTCTGTATAAGGACTGAAATGAAAGAAAATGTAATAAATTGCAAAGTAAGCTTAGCGTTGTTGAGCCGATGCAGATATATAAAAATATAAAGGATGCACAGTGCATTCGGAAAGTATTCAGACCCCTTGACTTTTTCCACATTTTGTTATGTTACAGCCTTATTTTAAAATTGATTAAATAAACATTTCCTTATCAATCTACACACAAAACCCCATCATGACCAAGTGAAAACTGGTTTTTAGACATTTTTGCAAATGTATTAAAAATAAAAAACAGAAATACCTTATTTACATAAGTATTCAGACCCTTTGCTATGAGACTCGAAATTGAGCTCAGGTGCATCCTGTTTCCATTGATCATCCTTGAGATGTTTCTACAACTTGATTTAAAGTCCACCTGTGGTAAATTAAATTGATTGGACATGATTTGGAAAGGCACACACCTGTCTATATAAGGTCCCAGAGTTGACAGTGCATGTCAGAGCAAGAACCAAGCCATGATGTCGAAGGAATTGTCCGTAGAGCCTTCTGCAGCATTGAAGGTCACCAAGAACACAGTGGCCTCCATCATTCTTAAATGGAAGAAGTTTGGAACCACCAAGACTCTTCCTAGAGCTGGTCGCGCAGCCAAACTGAGCAATCGGGGGAGAAGGGCCTTGGTCAGGGAGGTGACCAAGAACCCGATGGTCACTCTGACAGAGCTCCAGAGTTCCTCTGTGGAGATGGGAGAACCTTCCAGATGGACAACCATCTCTGCAGCACTCCACCAATCAGGCCTTTATGGTAGAGTGGCCCAGACGGAAGCCAATCCTCAGTAAAAGACACATGGCAGCCAAAAGGCACCTAAAGGACTGTCAGCGAATGCCAAGCGTCTGAATGCCAAGCGTCACGTCTGGAGGAAACCTGGCACCATCCCTACGGTGACGCATGGTGGTGGCAGCATCATGCTGTGGGGATGTTTTTCAGCGGCAGGGACGGGGAGACTAGTCAGGATCGAGGGAAAGATGAACGGAGCAAAGTACAGAGAGATCCTTGATGAAAACCTGCTCCAGAGCCTCAGACTGGGGCAAAGGTTCACCTTCCAACAGGACAATGACCCTAAGCATACAGCAAAGACAACGCAGGAGTGGTTTCGGGACAAGTATCTGAATGTCATTGAGTGGCCCAGCCAGAGCCCAGACTTGAACCCGATCGAACATCTCTGGAGAGACCTGAAAATAGCTGTGCAGCGACGCTCCCCATCCAACCTGACAGAGCTTGAGAGGATCTGTAGAGAAGAATCGGAGAAACTCCCCAAATACAGGTGTGCCAATCTTGTAGTGTCATACACAAGAGGACTCGAGGCTGTAATCGCTGCCAAAGGTGCTAAAACAAAGTACTGAGTAAAGGGTCTGAATACTTATGTAAATGTGATATTTCAGTTATTTTAAATAAATTAGCTAGAATTTCTATTATGGGGTATTGTGTGTATTTTTATTTAACCTTTATTTAACTAGGCAAGGCAGTTAAGAACAAATTCGTATTTACAATGACGGCCTACACCTGCCAAACCCGGATGATGCTGGGCCAATTGTGCGCCGCCCTATGGGACTCCCAATCACGGTCGGTTGTGATACAGCCTGGAATCGAACCAGGGGGTCTGTAGTGACGCCTTAAGCACTGAGATGCAGTGCCTTAGACTGCTGTGCCACTCGGGAGCCCTGTAGATTGATGAGGGGGGAAAAAAACAATTTAATCAATTTTAGAAAAAGGCTGTAACGTAACAAAATGTGGAAAAAGTCAAGGGGTCTGAATACTTTCCGAATGCACTGTTACAGTGCATCAAGGATAACTGCCAGCATTTTAAATCTTCCTAATCTTACCTTCTGGTTACTTTACAAATTGAGCGCTGAAGGACGATGCATCGCCCACAGTCTTTGAAATGGTCCCGTAGCCAGGAGGAAGAAGAGGGGGGGAAACTCCTAGAGGAAAGGGCAAACAGATTGTCATAAGCCTACAGACTAAGTAAGAAAACTGAACAATCAAAAATGTGTTAATCGTGTATGGATATGGAAGTACAGTGTCCGGTGTGATTGTAGTATACACTTTATGATTATAAACTAAGAGTCGCTATTGTACATGTAGCGCAGAGCTGTGATGCGTGATAATAGCAATCTTCCCTTTTTTCGGAGGTCCTGCTCTCTGAAAGTGGAACAAGACAGCCAGAATGGCGCACAACAAGAAACTGAAGACTAAAATATAGGTAGTGGAGAACAAGTTCATTGCTCTGAGACCCCCAATCGGGAACCGAATAACCAGATGGAGCAGGGCAAAGCACAGTCCCTCCCTCCCGGGAATATCTGCGCCGACTGTCGAAACACCACAGAGTCCCTCTCAACACCCATCAGGCGCTTCACCCGGAGACACTCCTGGCTCGCCATCCTCTCCCCGTCCTCATTCCCCATCGCAATACATGTTGCGCCTCCCTCCACCTCCCGGCTTCTACCTGCCCAAGGAACACAACTATGCTCAGCACTGCCCCCTGTTGTGGTGGAAGCGTTATGACAGGGCCATCGACAGCCTGGAAAAGTTCCTGCGGCTGCTCAGTATGGCCAGGCGGAAGGAGAACCGGCTGCAGCATGTGCTCCTGCGCCTCAGAGAAACTCGTCTGAAACACACCCTGCTTCGCTCATGGGACAGAGCTAAGGGCAGGGGAGGGGAGGTCGAATTCAGGGATTGGCGAGGAGATGGAGATAGGGCAGGAGGAGGTGCCAACCTGGCCGAGCCAGAGGAGACTGAGATGGATTTAGTGCCAGAGGACATGGGGCTATTTGAAGACAGACCTGGGGAACCGAATTACTGGGACTGACTCCAGAGACTAAAGCTGGGTTAGAAGAGGAGGGGGGGAGGCGATGGGGTTAAAGTATCCAGGGGAAGCTCTTGGATAAGAAAAGGTGGACAGGGAACTGTGGATGATGGCCCTTGGAGCTCTTGCGTTGATGAGAGGGACAGAGAGGGTCGAAGAGGAAGATACATTCCGAAGAAGGCTTGAGGTCAAAAGATTGGAGAGGCCACAACATATGCAGGAATGCCACAGGAAAGCTAAGAAAACTACTACTATCACTGTGGCGTGTCTGAGAGTGGTGGAGATGTGCTGGTAGTCAAGGTGGCGCTGCCACCTGAGAAAGGGGTGAAAGCTGGCATGGAACTTCACTGCAACCCTCAGCTGTCCAATCCCCTGTTGCAAACACAATCACATGTGGACCTCCAGCAGATACAGGCACAGCCCTCGGGCAGAACAGCACTGCAGGATAACCCACAGCCGGGTTCAGTTCCTGCAGCCTGGCCCAGCCTCCCAGCAGGGGCTACTCCTCACAGACCTGATCTCCATAGAAGCAGAGCAAGCGGACAGCCAGCAGAAGGAGGTGCAGGTGTTCTGGATGCAGGAGGGCCAACTGCTCTTAGTGCCTGTACCCCCCGAAGACTGGCTAAAGAGCACAGTTGGGATGGAGGGAGTGGCAGAAGAGGTGGGAGCACAAACCATATTGGTGTCAGAGGTGGGATTTCCCAGAGACTTGGTGGAGGAGAAGGGGCTGTGCTTAGAGGGTAGGGGTAGAGGGCTGAGGCTTATATTACCCACTGATGGACAGGGAGGCCATGACTCTGACATCAGGACTACTGTGGTGACCGGTGATGTGAGGGAGAGCTTAAAATAACTATTTGAGGGGTTTCAGCTCCAGCTTAGCAGTGAGTTTGTTGACTGAAGGCTGTATCACATTAAAGGGCCAAAGGGTGGAAGCCTTTATGTAGAGAGTGCAAAGGTGTCCGCATACTGTTGTGTTTTATGTACTAAGATGGTGGTATGTTAACTTGTAACTTAATCAGATGGAAAAGTCAAGAGGAGCCATTTAGCAGGACAAATACACTGCTCAAAAAAATAAAGGGAACACTTAAACAACACATCCTAGATCTGAATGAATGAAATAATCTTTTTTCTTTACATAGTTGAATATGCTGACAACAAAATCACACAAAAATTATCAATGGAAATCAAATTTTTATCAACCCATGGAGGTCTGGATTTGGAGTCACCCTCAAAATTAAAGTGGAAAACCACACTACAGGCTGATCCAACTTTGATGTAATGTCCTTAAAACAAGTCAAAATGAGGCTCAGTAGTGTGTGTGGCCTCCACGTGCCTGTATGACCTCCCTACAACGCCTGGGCATGCTCCTGATGAGGTGGCGGATGGTCTCCTGAGGGATCTCCTCCCAGACCTGGACTAAAGCATCCGCCAACTCCTGGACAGTCTGTGGTGCAACGTGGCATTGGTGGATGGAGCGAGACATGATGTCCCAGATGTGCTCAATTGGATTCAGGTCTGGGGAACAGGCGGGCCAGTCCATAGCATCAATGCCTTCCTCTTGCAGGAACTGCTGACACACTCCAGCCACATGAGGTCTAGCATTGTCTTGCATTAGGAGGAACCCAGGGCCAACCACACCAGCATATGGTCTCACAAGGGGTCTGAGGATCTCATCTCGGTACCTAATGGCAGTCAGGCTACCTCTGGCGAGCACATGGAGGGCTGTTCGGCCCCCCAAAGAAATGCCACCCCACACCATGACTGACCCACCGCCAAACCGGTCATGCTGGAGGATGTTGCAGGCAGCAGAACGTTCTCCACTGCGTCTCCAGACTCTGTCACGTCTGTCACATGTGCTCAGTGTGAACCTGCTTTCATCTGTGAAGAGCACAGGGCGCCAGTGGCGAATTTGCCAATCTTGGTGTTCTCTGGCAAATGCCAAACGTCCTGCACGTTGTTGGGCTGTAAGCACAACCCCCACCTGTGGACGTCGGGCCCTCATACCACCCTCATGGAGTCTGTTTCTGACCGTTTGAGCAGACACATGCACATTTGTGGCCTGCTGGAGGTCATTTTGCAGGGCTCTGGCAGTGCTCCTCCTGCTCCTCCTTGCACAAAGGTGGAGGTACAGTGGGGAGAACAAGTATTTGATACACTGCCGATTTTGCAGGTTTTCCTACTTACAAAGCATGTAGAGGTCTGTAATTTTTATCATAGGTACACTTCAACTGTGAGAGACGGAATCTAAAACAAAAATCCAGAAAATCACATTGTATGATTTTTAAGTAATTAATTTGCATGTTATTGCATGACATAAGTATTTGATACATCAGAAAAGCAGAACGTAATATTTGGTACAGAAACCTTTGTTTGCAATTACAGAGATCATACATTTCCTGTAGGTCTTGACCAGGTTTGCACACACTGCAGCAGGGATTTTGGCCCACTCCTCCATACAGACCTTCTCCAGATCCTTCAGGTTTCGGGGCTGTCACTGGGCAATACAGACTTTCAGCTCCCTCCAAAGATTTTCTATTGGGTTCAGGTCTGGAGACTGGCTAGGCCACTCCAGGACCTTGAGATGCTTCTTACAGAGCCACTCCTTAGTTGCCCTGGCTGTGTGTTTCGGGTCGTTGTCATGCTGGAAGACCCAGCCACGACCCATCTTCAATGCTCTTACTGAGGGAAGGAGGTTGTTGGCCAAGATCTCGCGATACATAGCCCCATCCATCCTCCCCTCAATACGGTGCAGTTGTCCTGTCCCCTTTGCAGAAAAGCATCCCCAAAGAATGATATTTCCACCTCCATGCTTCACGGTTGGGATGGTGTTCTTTGGGTTGTACTCATCCTTCTTCTTCCTCCAAACACGGAGAGTGGAGTTTAGACCAAAAAGCTCAATTTTTGTCTCATCAGACCACATGACCTTCTCCCATTCCTCCTCTGGATCATCCAGATGGTCATTGGCAAACTTCAGACGGGCCTGGACATGCGCTGGCTTGAGCAGGGGGACCTTGCGTGCGCTGCAGGATTTTAATCCATGACGGCGTAGTGTGTTACTAATGGTTTTCTTTGAGACTGTGGTCCCAGCTCTCTTCAGGTCATTGACCAGGTACTGCCGTGTAGTTCTAGGCTGATCCCTCACCTTCCTCATGATCATTGATGCCCCACGAGGTGAGATCTTGCATGGATCCCCAGACCGAGGGTGATTGACCGTCATCTTGAACTTCTTCAATTTTCAAAAAACTGCGTCAACAGTTGTTGCCTTCTCACCAAGCTGCTTGCCTATTGTCCTGTAGCCCATCCCAGCCTTGTGCAGGTCTACAATTTTATCCCTGATGTCCTTACACAGCTCTCTGGTCTTGGCCATTGTGGAGAGGTTGGAGTCTGTTTGATTGAGTGGGTGGACAGGTGTCTGTTATACAGGTAACGAGTTCAAACAGGTGCAGTTAATACAGGTAATGAGTGGAGAACAGGAGGGCTTCTTAAAGAAAAACGAACAGGTCTGTGAGAGCCGGAATTCTTACTGGTTGGTAGGTGATCAAATACTTATGTCATGCAATAAAATGCAAATTAATTACTTAAAAATCATACAATGTGATTTTCTGGACTTTTGTTTTAGATTCCGTCTCTCACAGTTGAAGTGTACCTATGATAAAAAATTACAGACCTCTACATGCTTTGTAAGTAGGAAAACCTGCAAAATCGGCAGTGTATCAAATACTTGTTCTCCCCACTGTAGCAGTCCTGCTGCTGGGTTGTTGCCCTCCTACGGCCTCCTCCACGTCTCCTGATGTACTGGCCTGTCTCCTGGTAGCGCCTCCATGCTCTGGACACTACGCTGACAGACACAGCAAACCTTCTTGCCACAGCTCGCATTGATGTGCCATCCTGGATGAGCTGCACTACCTGAGCCACTTGTGTGGGTTGTAGACTCCGTCTCATGCTACCACTAGAGTGAAAGCACCGCCAGCATTCAAAAGTGACCAAAACATCAGCCAGGAAGCATAGGAACTGAGAAGTGGTCTGTGGTCACCACCTGCAAAACCAGTCCTTTATTGGGGGTGTCTTGCTAATTGCCTATAATTTCCACCTGTTGTCTATTCCATTTGCACAACAGCATGTGAAATGTATTGTCAATCAGTGTTGCTTCCTATGTGGACAGTTTGATTTCACAGAAGTGTGATTGACTTGGAGTTACATTGTGTTGTTTAAGTGTTCCCTTTATTTTTTTGAGCAGTGTAAGTCAGTCATATTCTTACCATGCAATACAAAATGCTTCATACATTTTTTTAACAATTTGCTCACTTCACTTAGGCTTGTGTAGTAGAGCATACAAAGTGGAATTGAAAACATTTAAAAGCATACATCACAGAATTAATGAAATACATATAATATCATATATAATATTTATATAATACATATAAATACATACAGTGGGGAAAAAAAGTATTTAGTCAGCCACCAATTGTGCAAGTTCTCCCACTTAAAAAGATGAGAGAGGCCTGTAATTTTCATCATAGGTACACGTCAACTATGACAGACAAAATGAGAATTTTTTTCCAGAAAATCACATTGTAGGATTTTTTATGAATTTATTTGCAAATTATGGTGGAAAATAAGTATTTGGTCAACTACAAACAAGCAAGATTTCTGGCTCTCACAGACCTGTAACTTCTTCTTTAAGAGGCTCCTCTGTCCTCCACTCGTTACCTGTATTAATGGCACCTGTTTTAACTTGTTATCAGTATAAAAGACACCTGTCCACAACCTCAAACAGTCACACTCCAAACTCCACTATGGCCAAGACCAAAGAGCTGTCAAAGGACACCAGAAACAAAATTGTAGACCTGCACCAGGCTGGGAAGACTGAATCTGCAATCGGTAAGCAGTTTGGTTTGAAGAAATCAACTGTGGGAGCAATTATTAGGAAATGGAAGACATACAAGACCACTGATAATCTCCCTCGATCTGGGTCTCCACGCAAGATCTCACCCCGTGGGGTCAAAATGATCACAAGAACGGTGAGCAAAAATCCCAGAACCACACAGGGGGACCTAGTGAATGACCTGCAGAGAGCTGGGACCAAAGTAACAAAGCCTACCATCAGTAACACACTACGCCGCCAGGGACTCAAATCCTGCAGTGCCAGACGTGTCCCCCTGCTTAAGCTAGTACATGTCCAGGCCCGTCTGAAGTTTGCTAGAGTGCATTTGGATGATCCAGAAGAGGATTGGGAGAATGTCATATGGTCAGATGAAACCAAAATAGAACTTTTTGGTAAAAACTCAACTCGTCGTGTTTGGAGGACAAAGAATGCTGAGTTGCATCCAAAGAACACCATACCTACTGTGAAGCATGGGGGTGGAAACATAATGCTTTGGGGCTGTTTTTCTGCAAAGGGACCAGGACGACTGATCCGTGTAAAGGAAAGAATGAATGGGGCCATGTATCGTGAGATTTTGAGTGAAAACCTCCTTCCATCAGCAAGGGCATTGAAGATGAAACATGGCTGGGTCTTTCAGCATGACAATGATCCCAAACACAGCGCCCGGGCAACGAAGGAGTGGCTTCGTAAGAAGCATTTCAAGGTCCTGGAGTGGCCTAGCCAGTCTCCAGATCTCAACCCCATAGAAAATCTTTGGAGGGAGTTGAAAGTCCGTGTTGCCCAGCGACAGCCCCAAAACATCACTGCTCTAGAGGAGATCTGCATGGAGGAATGGGCCAAAATACCAGCAACAGTGTGTGAAAACCTTGTGAAGACTTACAGAAAACGATTGACCTGTGTCATTGCCAACAAAGGGTATATAACAAAGTATTGAGAAACTTTTGTTATTGACCAAATACTTATTTTCCACCATAATATGCAAATAAATTCATTAAAAATCCTACAATGTGATTTTCTGGAGAAAAAAAATCTCATTTTGTCTGTCATAGTTGACGTGTACCTATGATGAAAATTACAGGCCTCTCTCATCTTTTTAAGTGGGAGAACTTGCACAATTGGTGGCTGACTAAATACTTTTTTTCCCCACTGTATCATAATATGATATTTAGCATGGATTGTAAATCATGCTCAATTACACATTTCATTGCCTGTACTTACAATTATTACAGTATTAATAAAATAAAGTATAATAATTTCACCATCCGTAAGCCAAAGACTTTGTTCATGCTTACACATTTAATGTAATTGATTACATTTGGCATGCATGTCATTTATCCCGTATGGCGCAGTGGTCTAAGGCACTGCATCACAGTGCTAGCTGTGCCACTAGAGATCCTGGTTCGAATCCAGGCTCTGTCGTAGCCGGCCGTGACCGGGAGACCCATGGGGCGGCGCACAATTGGCCCAGTGTCGTCCAGGGTAGGGGAGGGAATGGCCGGCAGGGATGTAGCTCAGTTGGTAGAGCATGGCGTTTGCAACGCCAGGGTTGTGGGTTTGATTCCCACGGGGGGCCAGTATAAAAATAAATAAATAATAATGTATGCACTCACTAACTGTAAGTCGCTCTGGATAAGAGCGTCTGCTAAATGACTAAAATGTAAAATGTAAAAATGTAATTACAGGGGCCGCTAAAAGGTTGGTGGAATTTAGATTTTAGTTGTATGTTATTTTAATAGGTGTGTCTTGTGTGTTTCTATGAGTTTCATCACAAAATAATACAGAAGTGTGTGGGTCGCTGCAATGACCCCAAAATCACTCCAAAACTCTAGGCAAGCAAAACGCATCCAAAATATTGTCTTGGGCATTCAGGTACTGCCAAGATAAGTCAGAAAGTCATGTTAGATTGTATTAAGTGGAACATCCCTTTAATTGAGGTGCCCTGTCCCAAACAACATGACTTTCAAGTGACAAACTGAGGGATTTTTTTTTTAAATAAAAAAAGTCTCAAAAACATTTTTTTCTACCTTTACCACTTTAAAACTGGTGGTTTGATTATTCTTCACACACAAGAAACTAGCGCTGGTAACCTGCTATATATTTTTTATTTGATGTAGCTAAATTCATAAATTGTGGGCAATTTGCTTTAACTTCAAATAGGCCTAGGCCTTTTCTCATTTGGGTAAAGATCCGTTTTCCACCCTCTCCTCCGTCCTCTCTTCTCCGTGACCCAGAAACCGATAAGTGGTCGAGGAGATGTAAATTCATTAGTAGGCGAATGGAAGAGTGTCCTCCCCTCCTCGATAGCCAACTTTCATCGAGGATAGTGTGTATCCTACCTGAGTCCTTCATGGAAGAGTTTTCAAATCGAGGGCCTTTTCTCAATTGGTTTAGCTGAATTCCTGCATTCTCTCTCCTCTGTTCTCTCTCGCCTCCTTTTGGTCAAAGGTAATCAAGGAGAGGAGAGGGAAAGTGGAAGAAAATGTGCTTGTATGAAATGACTGACCTCCACTCGCACCTCATCAGGCAAATTACTTTTATAGGGGTGGATCTCAAAATAAATGCATAAAGTGATCAAAACTAATTAAGTTAGTTGTGAAAAACATTTTATAGATAAAACGATAAGCTGCATATTGTTTTTAAATGTATGCATGCTTATTTCCTCCGACAAAAACAAAAGCTGATGCAAAGGGGGTGTGGCAGATTAATCCTTGATGAAAGGTGGCTATCTGAGTAATAGAGGACACTCTTCCGTTCGCCTACTAACACATTGACATCTCCTCAACCACTTATCTGTTTTCAGGTCATGGAGGAGCGAGGACGGAGGAGAGATGGTGGAGGATGGACTTTTCCTCAAATGAGAAAAGGCCCAAGACGTAGCCTACCTGGTGCCTTTCCACACAACCCCCTCATGTTGTGCCTCTGTTTTTAAAGGGGAAATCTGAGATTGCTACATACATTTTTTTACTTTTATTTCATGATATATAGCCATTGTTTCCTCATCATATTTATATACAGACACTGTAGTAAACTACAGTCTATTTAAAAAAAAGTTAATTTCATATTCAAGTTAACTGCCACATGATTCTTCGCCCATGTAGGCAGCCTACTCTATTTCAATGAGACCACACATACTAGGCACACTTGTGTGAGAAGTGTGCAGAAGGGCATGAGACAAAGGAATGTATAGCATTGGTGAAAGTAGTGGTATGTGCTAATTGTAGGGGTGCCCATGGTGCTAGGGATCAGAAATGTCCTGTGCGAGAGAGGCAGGTTGAGGTTTCCAGGGTAAGAGTAGTGAAGAAGTTGTCATATGCTGGGGCAGTGAAGAAAGTAGAGGAAGATGGGTCAAGGGGGAGGAGTGGTGAGAGTAGTAGATATGTACCAATACAGAGGGATAGGCCAACAAGTGATATGTTTCAGTAAAATTGGATTTTTAGCATTTATAGCAATGGTTATTAATTGTACTGCAGGGATGGAACGTAAGTCGAGAAAATTGAGGTTGTGGTGGCAGCTGCAGAGAGGTATTTGGGTGTGCGAGACTTGACATCAGAAGAGTTACAGGGAGTGTTAAGTGGTGATTTCCCATCATTTCAGGTTGAGGGCATGAGGTAGGTAGGAATGAATATATTTAAATAGTGGAGTAGGGTGGTGTTAATTATTGATAATATTTTTGAATTTGTGAGTGTAGTGTTAGATGGTAGGGTATTTCTTTATATTATTTTTCAAGCATAATATAAGGGAGTTGTACTCCAGTCTAGTAGGTGGCGGTAATGCAACAAATTGGATGCCAACCGCCGTTAAACCTCATCAAAGAAGAAGAAGAAGTAGGCGCACTTGAAGTCTCACGCCCAACTAGGAGAGGTAGTCTACTGAAGTTGAAGCAGCGAAGTCTGAGTGTGTGAATAATGCGAAAAATGTGTTTTTAATAGAATAGGTAAGCTAACGCATACAGAGTGGCCTGAAGTGCACAGTCAGTACACAATACTATGGTCATCATGTATTAGCAGGATCAGATGGTGACAGGAGTCCCAGGAGGGTCAGACAGGCAGGGAAGACCAGTCTACGGAGCTCAGGTGAATTTTGCAGTTTATTAACAATATCAGTGAATAGGACAGCAGCTTAAGCTTAAAGCTACAGTTTGGGATCTGGAAATAATGGTCATTTCAATTATTGAACCATTGATTCTATTCTTGGATAAAATAATGTATAAATGTACACCACATTTTTTCAGTTGTGCAGTTTAGTTCTTTGGGGTTCTTGCAGGAACCTAAGGAGGTTCCTCAATGAACCCCACCTCCTATGAGGTTCTTGGAATAACCTTTTGGGGTATTTTTCATTGCCAAGAACCCTAACGTTCTTCAAGGATCTTAGAAGAACCCTTGTTGAACCCCTACGTTTTAGAGTGTAGAAACGTAACGTTTCCTCATGATCTTAGTTAAACTGTCCAACCCCATCAGAACCCAAAGTATATGCTTGTTTTACTCCGTTGTGTGTAAACAATTTCTAATTGTAAACAAACACTGTATAGCCTCAAAACATTGTTTAAAATATAATTTGTATATAATGGATGGCTAGTCCTTGCATACACAGTTCTGTCTATGAATTTTGTTCAGCCCCACCCCGCAGCTGTTTACCGAAACAGTGGCAGGGTATATGCGTTGTTGTCGTTTGAACAGCAGATTGCCCCTTCAATTGGGATTCGGTAATTGACAGTCGCGAGAACGCCACAGAAAGAACACAACTTTTTTTTTTCTTCTGCCTTCGCGCCACACAACATGTTTGTTGGAGTCTGAGGTAAGCGCTGGCTAATTTTAACACACTCGTCTTAATGTAGGTTAAAGCCGAATGACTTTAAGCCGCTCTGTCAATAGCTAAGGGTCGCGTGGAAATTGATTTGAGGGCCTTGCTACTAGATAGTCTCACAATCTCAAGGAATAAGACGTGGCCACAAACCATTCAACGTTCGCTAGTTAACGTTCAATATGCCAAATGAAAACTAACAGTGCCAGTGTGACCCCAGGTAAATGCTTCGTGTCATTGTACGCATTTCACTCTTAATAACGGACTTTTCTTCTCACCTTTTTTGTTTCATGGTGGTTACGCGGGTAGACAGTTTATAATCGTTTGGTGAAATGGTTTCTCCGAGAGCTGACAGGGGGACAACCTCACCTGTAACCGCGCGCCCTCTGTGGCCCCTCGATGGTTGTGGTTTGTGTTGTACGGAATTGAAGCCTGACAGAAATCCTCAACTTCTACCATGCCTACATTCTGTGTGTCAGGAGTGTGTTCCCCAGAGTGATTTCAAGACAGGTGAGCCATGTTGAACGATGTCACTCAAACTCTTTTGAATTTCAGTAGGCTGAAGAGACTTGACCACTGACCTGATTCAGTCTCTGACCAGTCTGATTTACAGTCTGTCCAATAATTAAAATATGCAAGTCTGATAAAGACATGACAAAGTGATTGCAGACAAGCATTCCTGTCCATCCTGTGAATTGAATATCACTTCCATTTTCTCCTAGAATGTCCAGTGTGTGGAAGGCAATACACTTCTTCAGAAATCATTGACTATCCTTTCCTCCCTACCTTTGCCTCTGATTCAAAAACCTGGGTAGGTAGTGGATGGGTGCTGCTGTGAATGACAGTGAACAAAGTAATAGTTATCACTCAATGTATACATGCAGTAGCCTATTGGCTATGAATGGAATGAAAGCTGATGTGATACCCCTCTCTCTCAGTGTGGGGGTTGTGATGAGCCTGTGGTCTGTGGCTGGTGTGTAGAATGTGACGAACCGCTCTGCTCTGTCTGTGTGGCAGCCCACAAGAGGGTGAAGTTAACACGCGACCATAATGTCCTACCCCAATTACCTCCAGGTACAACCTTCTGCCATTATGTCAGACCAGACTATGACCACAAACCTTTAGCACTGGTCAATTAAACCTTTTCATCCGAAGGAACACCTTATTCAAAGCAGTGTTAATGCCCGCAGTTGAATATTTTATTAGCTGTCAGTGATGGCGTGAAATGTTAAATCTCCAGGTTTCAGCAGGACAGCGTTGTGTCCCGTCCATAAGAGAGAGCAGATGAAGTTTTTCTGTGTGACTTGTGATCAGCTGACTTGCCGTGATTGTCAGCTAACCTTCCACAGAGAACACAAGTAAGATTTCCCTCAAGCACCTCCTTGCTGGCAACTCCAAATAAAATTGTATTTGTCACATGCGCAGAATACAACAGGTGTAGACTTTATTGTGAAATGCTTGCTTATGAGCCCTTCCCAACAATGCAGAGTAAAATTGAATACACAAGAATGGTGCTATATAAAGGGATTGGCGCTACAGTGCATTCAGAATGTATTCAGACCCCTTGACTTTTTCCTCATTTTGTTACATTACAGCCTTATTCTATAATTGATTAAATTGTTTTTTCCCCCTCATCAATCTACACACAATACACCATAATGGAAAGCAGAAACTGTTTTTTATAATTTTCTGCAAATGTATTAAAAATAAAAAACAGATCACATTTATGTAAGTATTCAGACCCTTTACTCAGTACTTTGTTGAAGCACCTTTGGCAGTGATTATAGCATCAAGTCTTCTTGGGTATGACACTACAAGCTTGGCACACCTGTATTTGGAGAGTTTCTCCCATTCTTCTCTGCAGATCCTCTCACGCTCTGTCAGGTTGGATGGGGAGCATCGCTGCACAGCTATTTTCAGGTCTCTCCAGAGATGTTCGATCGGGTTCAAGTCCGGGCTCTGGCTGGGACACTCAAGGACATTCAGAGACTTGTCCCGAAGCCACTCCTGTGTTGTCTTGGCTGTGTGCTTAGGGTTGTTGTCCTGTTGGAAGGTGTACCTTTGCCCCAGTCTGAGGTCCTGAGCGCTCTGGAGCAGGTTTCATCAAGGATCTCTCTGTACTTTGCTCCGTTCATCTGACTAGTCTCCCAGTCCCTGCTGCTGCCACCACCATGCTTCACTGTAGGAATGGTGCCAGGTTTCCTCCAGACGTGACGCTTGGCATTCAGGCCAAAGAGTTCAATCTTGGTTTCATCAGACCAGAGAATCTTGTTTCTCATGGTCTGATGGTGCTGTAGGTGCCTTTTGGCAAATTCCAAGCTGGCTGTCATCTGCCTTTTTTCTGAGGAGTGGTTTCTGTCTGGCCACTCTACCATAAAGGCCTGATTGGTGGAGTGCTGCAGAGATGGTTGTCCTTCAGGAAGGTTCTCCCATCTCCACAGAGGAACTCTGGGGCTCTGTCAGTGACCATCGGGTTCTTGGTCACCTCCCTGACCAAGGCCCTTCTCCCCCGATTGCTCAGTTTGGCTGGGTTGACAGCTTTAGGAAGAGTCTTGGTGGTTCCAAATTTCCCTCCATTTTAAGAATGACGGAGGCCACTGTGTTCTTGGGGACCTTCAATGCTGCAGACATTTTTTGATACCCTTCCCCAGATCTGTGCCTCAGCACAATCCTGTCTCGGAGCTCTACGGGCAATTCCTTCGACCTCATGGCTTGGTTTTTGCTCTGACATGCACTGTCAACTGTGGGACCTTATATAGACAGGTGTGTGCTTTTCCAAATAATGTCCAATCAATTGAATTTACCACAGATGGACTCCAAGTTGTAGAAACATCTCAAGGATGATGAATGGAAACAGGATGCTCCTGAGCTCAATTTCGAGTCTCATAGCAAAGGGTCTGAATACTTATATAAATAAGGTATATCTTTTTTTTTTATATACATTTGCAAACATTTCTAAACCTTTTTTTGCTTTGTCATTATGGGATATTGTGTGTAGATTGATGAAGGGGAAAAAAATAATTTAATACATTTTAGAATAAGGCTGTAACGTAACAAAATGTTGAGTCAAGGGGTCTGAATACTTTCCGAAGGCACTGTATATACATATGGAGCCCATAGATGCTGTCAGTTCCCTCATGCCTTACATTACTACTTATGCCAAAAACAATTGTTTGTATACTTTTTACTTAAGTATGTTAAACTCTTCCCTCTGCTTCCTTCTGGATCATTTTTTAAAAGATCCCACTGTTGATGATGTTCACTCGTTCTGTAATTTTTCTGTTTATTTTCTCTAGGTACCAGTTTTCCCAGGACGCTTTACCAGAGCAGAGGAAATGTTTACAGTATCTAATAGAGACTGTGAGGATGCAGAGAGTGACTGTACAACAGAACCTGTTGGACCTGGATGGACGGTCAGTTGTTAACGCATTTGTCTGGGTGTGCGTGAATGAAAATGATGATGCCGTAAAATGATGGCGGCACACCAATTGTTCAGCAGTCTGCTGTATCCAAGACAGTTTCCAAGTCTCACTGGGTCAGTCATTGTTGATCTGTTCATTTGTGGTAATTTTAGTCTCATGAAAGAATGAATAAATCTCATAGCTAGCTGTGTGACCTTTGCCCCAGGCTGTCTGACTTGGAGGATCTGCAGGAGAGTGTGAGGGCGGAGGTCAAGGATATCCTCAAGGGCATCTGGAGTGTCCTGGTGAAGAGAGCCATGCAGCTTTCCAAGGAAATGCAGGTAACATTTAACACACACAGATTGGAAGAATCTGGTATCTTGGCCCTCCCACCCCTACGGGATGACAGTTTGCGCTCAGCACAGTCAAAGCTCTTCTCTGTCCTCATATTCCAATAGTAAAAAAATTGCGACATGTGTAATGGAAACGACAGCTATAGGAGAAATGTTCTAAACATTTTTATCCATTGGACAACTATTCAGAAGTAGCTGTTAATTATAAACCTCAAAGCCGAATGAGCTTACATTTGTAGATAGCAACCCTACCCACATACTCTACCAGTACAGCACTTTTGTACCAGTTTTTTGTATTGTTCATACTTTCTCACTGCTGAACCAACCAAGTATCAGACGAAATTAGTCTGAGGGACTGAAGATGATGTTTAGCCTGCTGCGCTAAAGCCTAGGTATCTTCAAGTCTCAGATGAGGTTACTCCTCATGCAACTTACAAGTCAACTTAATTCCCAGAGTCAACCCAGTCCTGCCAATGAAAAATAGCTGTGGTATCCACAGTATCCAGCCTGCTGTGTAGATAACTTGATACCGCACACTATATTTGAATGATTGGTCATCGACTCATTGTTTGTTGCCTAGGATCACTGTTGGAAGGAGAGCGAGTGTGTCACAGAGAGACAGGCCCATCTTAGGAAGCTGGGAGAGAGGCAGGAATATGTGCTGGCCTTCACAGAGAAAGCCCTGAAGAGTGAGGATCACACCTCCCTGTTATCCTGCAAAAGACAGGTAGATAAAAAGTCCAATCTACGATCAGAGGTAACTTAGAATTACACTGAAGAAAACAGTAAATATAGAGGTAACATTAGAGAGAATACATGCTACTACCCTGATCTGTTACCGTAAAACTTCAATTAATAACCCAGCATTTATTTGCTTCACTGAACACAACCAGTGGTCCTCTGTAGCTCAATTGGTAGAGCATGGCGCTTGTAATGCCAGGGTAGTGGGTTCGATCCCCGGGACCACCCATACGTAAAAATGTATGCACGCATGACTGTAAGTCGCTTTGGATAAAAGCGTCTGCTAAATGGCTTATTATTATTATTATTATTATTATTATTATTATTATTATTATTATTTAGATGGGCATCTATTTGAGCCAGGCGTCTATTTCCTTAACACACACAGCTTTTGCTCAATACAATGTAGAAAAGACAACCACTGTTTATTGTGACCAGTATAAACATTATAATTACAAATCCATCGCAAATCAGACTTGCAAAGACTAGGCTGCCTATCATACGCTTCGTGGCGCCATGGCTAGCAACGATGACAGAATAAAAAATAAAAACACGTTTTGACTGCGAATATCAGAGCTGTGTCCATGGCAACCTCGTAAAAAAATGCATTTAGACTCGGCGTTTATTTGAAACAGCCGTTTATTTGCTGAAATGTGTGCAGATGTCCGGCTATTAAAAGGGACAGGCGGCTATTTGAGACTGCCTTTAGTTGAAGTTTTTACGGTACAGAAAAATGCATCTTCCCTTTCTTAACCCACCAGTGCTCAAGTTTTCTCACCATCTTGTCTCCTACCATCCTCTTCTTTCTCCTTTTAGATCCAGTCTCAGCTGCAAGCCGTTCTAGCCAAAAAAAACAGCACAGTGTCTACAATGAAGGAGCTGAAGCTCCACTGTAGCCAGGACATCCACCAAGCCCTTGGGTGTTTTGGTACGTATCAAAGCAATGTGATTTTTGTACACTTTCAATTATCATATTTATAAACTTGCAGTGATGCGTCTAGATTTGTCGCACTTATGAATAATGACATCTCTGCAGTGATGATGCTTTTTTGTTGGCTTGATGCTGCCAGAAAGATTGTTTGACGTTAAAGCTTAGAGAAAAATAGTTGAAGATGGTGGTAGTTGCACTCTTAATTAATGTGTGTGTGTCATTCTGTTTGCGTTCAGGGGAAATTGTGACTAAGGAGGTCCCGTTTGCTCGGCTAAACCTGAGAAAGACTCTGGTTAGTCCCATTCAAATCAATCCTCCCAATATTTCACTGGAACAGCAGAGAAACAGCAGAGCATCCTCAGCATTGTCACCTTCATCCCAGGAAACCTCCAGTTTGTCAGCGGGAAATGCTCCCCTCTCGGGACGTCAACCAACACTAATGCGCTCGCTTTCTTGCCCCCAGTCCTCCCCCTTCCCCTATCCCCATGAACCAGAGAAACTGTCATGTTACCACTTTTCCCCTGACTCTCGCAGACCCTCTTTACAGGCACTATCCTCTTCCCGCTCTGACAGCCCTCTGTCCTTGTCCTCTACGGGAAACAATGACTGCTCATTATTATCAGGGTTTGTCCAGGACACCCTTGTCCCATATCAGGGTGGCTCCTCAAAGTCTGACCTGATGGTGGAACTTGTTTCCCGGGCCTTTCATGTCAAAAGGAAAGCAGGGGATGTAAATGTGGGTCCTCAAATTAAACGAACTCGTTTGCAGCCCTTTAAGGTACCAGCGGACTCTCCATGTGAGAGGGTTCCCCCTATAGGTGCCGAAAAGCAGGCTGTGGACATGGCTGCTACAGTTGTCTTGGAAAGAGAAGCTACACCCAACATCACGGACCAGAATGCAACGGCTCCAGTGTACAGACAAGAAGCTACTAAGGCTTCAGGCAGTAGTGTCACGACAGCCAATCAGGTAGTTTTAGCTCCCTTCACACTCCCTGTCACGGGGAACTCCGTCACTTGGGGCATGTCACCAGCTAATGGCACTCTTTTTCCTGGCACCGTGAACACTCCCCCCAGCTTTGGATGTGTAAGGGCTGTCCCCCCATACTTGGTTTTGTCCAACAGCGCTCCAGTTTCCAGTCACACTGGCACTGTGTGCAGGCTTGACAATGGAAGCCTGGTCTTCAGCCATAATGACATGCCCTTTTTCAACATCTTGAGCACTGTTAGAGGAGGTCAAAACCAAGTGCTAGCTGGTTCTGTCCCAGGAGGACTCTCCCCACCACGTCTGCCAGACCCCACCTCTCCAAAGAGCCCTATGGTTAGTTGGGAAGAAATGTCTTTACTGTTTATTTCCCTCTTATCTATAGTTTCTCCTAGTAGTTCCTATCCCATAGTAGTTGATCTGTGTCCTTCTCTTTTGCCTCCCATCTCTTTACTTCCTCTAAAATCCATATTCTGTCTGTTGGTCTCCCAAATCTCATTTTACGCTAGTTTGTCAATTGTCCTGTTTTGTAGTATCCTCAGTTAGGTATTGTGTAGTTGAGCAAATAATGGAAAGTTAAAAAGTTTTGCTAAATCACAATTTGGGAAACTTTGGAATGACTACTGTAGTGTTGCATTATCTGAAGTATAAAATAAAATTTGAAGATCAGCTGTGAATAATTCATTATCATATCTGTTTTGTAATGTAATTGGAAACTTTTTGAAAGCATGTATTTATGAATTGTTAAGTAAGAACACACCTCTGGCCTTTGATAGTTTTAATCTCATTAATAAGACACTATCACACCCTCTCAACAGGAAGCTTCTCAGTCCACTGGTCCAAAATATCCAATCAGAATTATTCGACGGGTAAAGAATTATATTTCAACGGTCCAGGACACCAAGCTGCCCACCCAGGATGCCACTGCTCAGTCAGGATTGTGCAGAAAGGATGAAGCCGCCTCTACTCTCCTCGTACAAACTACTAGTGCCCAGGCAGACTCTGTACAAATGGAAATTGCCCAGACCAACGTTGACCTCATCCAGGTAGACCCTAATCAGACAGTCTTTGCCATGGAAGAAACCACGGAGACAGACATTGTCCAGAATAAAACTGCCCAGCCAGACTTTGTCCAGAATGAGACCAACCAGGCCGAACTTGTCCAGACTGCATCTGACCAGGCAGAACTTTTCCAGACTAAAACAGCCCAGATTGAAATTGTTCCTGCTCAAGTTGTTGGAATCAAGGAGGAACAAACATTACGGCAAGTTACAGGACCGATGGAGTCTGTGAGGGCAGACATGCTTGACCCCGACATTGTGCATTCTGAAACTGACCAGACTGACTTTGTCAACGTAAGCACACAAGTATCTGGGATCATGATCAAGGAAGAACCGCCAGCCACAGACAGCTTATCAGTTACAGGGCTAATGGAACCCATCTTAGCGATCATGCCTGACACTCTACCTACTGAAACCGTCCAGACTGACCCTGTCCACACAGAAATGGTTCATGCGAGTGAAACTGTGCAGAGGAATTTTTTCCAGACTGATAACCAGCCTGAAACTATGCAGACGGACTCTGCCGAGACTGAAACTGTGCAGAAAGAAATTGTCCAGTCGAACTTTAACCTGACTAAAACCGTGCAGACAGACCCTGTCCTGACTGAAGCAGTTTATGCAGTCCAGACAGACACTGCGCAGATGGAGCCAATCCACAGTGAAACTGTCCTTACCGACATTGTGCAGACTGCTACTCTGCAGAGGGACCTAGCCCCAACTGACTTCACAGAGATTCAGCCAGACATGTCAACCACCAATGAGGTATCCACAAATGACACTGTCAATGTGGTCAGTGTCCCCAGCTGCACTCAGGAAGTTGACATTGACCTCACCCTTGACCTCAGCAATGATTTCTGCTCTCCGATAGAGGTAAGTGTTTTGCTTTTGGTCCAAATCTACCTAGTTAATGCCCTGACTCATAACTTACTCTGGCCTGTACAGCCTTTCTGCCCTTAATACCAAACAAAATTGATAATATTTCTACATTGTAGAATAATAGTGAAGACATCAAAACTATGAAATAACACACAGAATCATGTAGTAACCAAAAAAGTGTTGAACAATTTCAAGAACTTTGGAAGTTTCTTCAAGTTCAGTCGCAAAAACCATCAAGCGCTATGATGAAACTGGCTCTCATGAGGACCGCCACAGGAATGGAAGACCCGGAGTTACCTCTGCTGTAGAGGATACGTTCATTTAGAGTTACCAGCCTCAGAAAATGCAGCCCAAATAAATGCTTCACAGTGTTGAAGTAACACACATTTCAACATCAACTGTTCAGAGGAGACTGTGAATCAGGCCTTCATGGTTGAATTTCTGCAAATAAACCACTACTAAAGGACACCAATAAGAAGAGACTTGCTTGGGCCAAGAAACACGAGCAATGGACATTAGACCAGTGAAATGTGTCCTTTGGTCTGGAGTCCAAATTGGAGATTTTTGGTTCCAACCGCCGTGGCTTTGTGAGACGCAGTGTGGGTGAACGGATGATCTCCGCATGTGTATTTCCCACCGTAAAGCATGGAGGAGGAGGTGTTATGGTGTGGGGGTGCTTTACTGGTGACAATGTCTGTGTTTTATTTAGAATTCAAGGCACACATAACCAGCATGGCTACCACAGCATTCTGCAGCAATAGAAGTGCTCAGCATATGTGGGAACTCCTTCAAGACTGTTGGAAAAGCATTCCAGGTGAAGCTAGTTGAGAGAATGCCAAGAGTGTGCAAAGCTGTCATCAAAGCAAAGGGTGGCTATTTGAAGAATCTCAAATATAACATATATTTTGATTTAACACTTTTTTGGTTACTACATGATTCCATATGTGTTATTTCATAGTTTTGATGTTTTCACTATTATTCTACAATGTAAAAATAAAAACCCTTGAATGAGTAGGTGTCCAAACTTTTGACTGGTAGTGTGTGTGTGTGTGTGTGTATATATATCACACACAGTGGGGAGAACAAGTATTTGATTCACTGCCGATTTTGCAGGTTTTCCTACTTTCAAAGCATGTAGAGGTCTGTAATTTTTATCATAGGTACACTTCAACTGTGAGAGACGGAATCTAAAGCAAAAATCCAGAAAATCACGTTGTATGATTTTTAAGTAATTAATTTGCATTTTATTGCATGACATAAGTATTTGATACATCAGAAAAGCAGAACTTAATATTTGGTACAGAAACCTTTGTTTGCAATTACAGAGATCATACGTTTCCTGTAGGTCTTGACCAGGTTTGCACACACTGCAGCAGGGATTTTGGCCCACTCCTCCATACAGACCTTCTCCAGATCCTTCAGGTTTCGGGGCTGTCGCTGGGCAATACGGACTTTCAGCTCCCTCCAAAGATGTTCTATTGGGTTCAGGTCTGGAGACTGGCTAGGCCACTCCAGGACCTTGAGATGCTTCTTACGGAGCCACTCCTTAGTTGCCCTGGCTGTGTGTTTCGGGTCGTTGTCATGCTGGAAGACCCAGCCACGACCCATCTTCAATGCTCTTACTGAGGGAAGTAGGTTGTTGGCCAAGATCTCACGATACATAGCCCCATCCATCCTCCCCTCAATACGGTGCAGTCGTCATGTCCCCTTTGCAGAAAAGCATCCCCAAAGAATGATGTTTCCACCTCCATGCTTCACGGTTGGGATGGTGTTCTTGGGGTTGTACTCATCCTTCTTCTTCCTCCAAACATGGCGAGTGGAGTTTAGACCAAAAAGCTATATTTTTGTCTCATCAGACCACATGACCTTCTCCCATTCCTCCTCTGGATCATCCAGATGGTCATTGGCAAACTTCAGACGGGCCTGGACATGCGCTGGCTTGAGCAGGGGGACCTTGCGTGTGCTGCAGGATTTTAATCCATGACGGCGTAGTGTGTTACTAATGGTTTTCTTTGAGACTGTGGTCCCAGCTCTCTTCAGGTCATTGACCAGGTCCTGTAGTTCTGGGCTGATCCCTCACCTTCCTCATGATCATTGATGCCCCACGAGGTGAGATCTTGCATGGAGCCCGAGGGTGATTGACCGTCATCTTGAACTTCTTCCATTTTCTAATAATTGCGCCAACAGTTGTTGCCTTCTCACCAAGCTGCTTGCCTATTGTCCTGTAGCCCATCCCAGCCTTGTGCAGGTCTACAATTTTATCCCTGATGTCCTTACACAGCTCTCTGGTCTTGGCCATTGTGGAGAGGTTGGAGTCTGTTTGGTTGAGTGTGTGGACAGGTGTCTTTTATACAGGTAACGAGTTCAAACAGGTGCAGTTAATACAGGTAATGAGTGGAGAACAGGAGGGCTTCTTAAAGAAAAACTAACAGGTCTGTGAGAGCTTGAATTCTTACTGGTTGGTAGGTGATCAAATACTTATGTCATGCAATAAAATGCAAATTAATTACTTAAAAATCATACAATGTGATTTTCTGGATTTTTGTTTTAGATTCTGTCTCTCACAGTTGAAGTGTACCTATGATAACAATTACAGACCTCTACATGCTTTGTAAGTAGGAAAACCTGCAAAATCGCCAGTGTATCAAATACTTGTTCTCCCCACTCTATATATTATTATTATTTTCTTCTGAGAAGTAAGGCTGACAGTCTCTCCCAGACGCAACAGTAAAATGTAAACCATTTATCTTGCTGTCATACAGGAGGAAGATGACAATATGGGTGATTTTGATGTCAGTGCTGCTGACAGTATTGAAAAGACTGGGTGCCAGGTGTCTGTTGGGCTTAATAGCAGGTGACAAACTTTCTATCCTTATTGTCACATTTGTCAACCAGAAAAACAGCACAAATCATTCTGTTGGCATTACTTCAGTGTGGTGGTGTGTAGCATAATTGAGTATGTGTACATGCATGCGTACATCATATTGTGTGCACCGTCATGGGGTTTAACCTCAGTGCATGGCTCTCTGTAGATTTCTGCAGGTGTCTTTGCTTTGGATGCCCATCCTTGACGCCCCTGTTGGTGCCCCGCCAGCCTGCTTCCGCCTCCTCCCAGGGGTCAAAGGGCAGGAAACTGTCATTCAGGTGATCCAGACGGACGCACCGGTAAGGCCAACTTTCATAGTGTTGGTTTGAATGTGTGTAAATATCACATTTTCTTGCTGACACTGGTTTACACATCCTCCAGCAGCCAGAGTCTCCTTGCTCCTCCATGTCGAGCCCAGACAGTCTGAGGAGCACCCACCAGCTACGCCCCCTCCTGGCCAGGAGGAAACACTGCACAGCATGTAGGATGTCAGGGAAGCTCACCCTGTGTGTCGTGTGTGGACGGGGCTTCCACAGGGAGTGTCACATTCCACCCATCTATGCCTTATCAACGTAAGCTTGTTTAATTAACTAACTTAATTGCATTCTGAATGAACAGTGATTTAATATATATATATATTTAGCCCTGAATTATGGTTATGCCTCAATGGGTGACATGTCTGGTGAGTATGCAGGCCATGGAAGAACTGGGACATTTTCAGCTTCCAGGAATTGTGTATAGATCCTTGCGACATGGGGCTGTGCATTATCATGCTGAAACATGAAGTGATGCCAGTGGATACCATGGGGCACTCTGTTCACAACGTTGACATCAGTAAACTGCTCGCCCACACGAAGCTGTCTGCCATCTGCCCGGTACAGTTGAAACGTAAAGAGCACACTTCTCCAGCGTGCCAATGGCTATCGAAGGTGAGCATTTGCCCAGTGAAGTCGGTTACGACGCCGAACTGTAGTCAGGTCAAGACCCTGTTGAGGACGACCCCGCTCGCAGATGAGACTCCCTGAGACTGTTTCTGACAGTTTGTGCAGAAATTCTTCGGTTGTGAAAACACAGTTTCATCAGATTATACATGGTCTGCATTTGTGAGGCTGGTTGGACGTACTGCCAAATTCTCTAAAACGACAGAGGTTTATGGTAGAGAAATTAACATTATGAGAAAAAAGAAGAAACCTGCACACTGCTCTTGCTAGTATCACTGCTCATTATTAAGCTTTATGTATCGGCCTCATGAACATTCAATTATCTGGCAACATCTCTGGTGGACATTCCTGCGGTCAGCATGCCAATTGCACGCTCCCTCAACTTGAGACATCTGTAGCATTGTGTTGTGACAAAATTGCACATTTTAGTGGCCTTTTATTGTTCCAGCACAAGGTGCACCTGTGTAATGATCATGCTGTTTAATCAGCTTCTTGATATGTCATACCTGTCAGGTGGATGGATTGTCTTGGCAATGGAGAAATGCTCACTAAAAGGGATGTAAACAAATTTGTGCACATAATTTGAGAGAAATAAGCTTATTGGGTGTATGGAACATTTCGGGGATGTTTTATTTCAACTCATGAAACATGGGACCAACACTTTACAAGTTGCGTTTTTTATTTTTGTTCAGTGTAGTTTGGGATATTTTTTATTTCTTCAATAATTTGTTTCTTAATTAGAATCTGTATTGTATATAGATCTCAAAAAATGTGGGCCCCTGTGTGGAAAGATGTTTCAGTGTAGGCCCAAATAAGGCATTGGGATTTGTCTCTCTGTATTGGCCTGATATGTGTGATGCTACTCCTCCAGTGAGCGCTGGCAGTGTATGCTGTGCCGGGACCTCTCTGATCTGGCGGAGTTGCAGGACTACAGTGGGGCTGACGGGGAACTGTGTATGAGCCCTCCTGACCAAATGGTGAGCCTTTTACTTTGCAGAGCATGTCTGGGCACGTCTGCTATATTTCACTTGAATATGCACATCTGGGTACATAAACTCAGCAAAAAAAGAAACTGCCCTTTTTCAGGACCCTGTCTTTCAAAAATAATTGTAAAAATCCAAAGATCTTCATTGTAAAGGGTTTAAACACTGTTTCCCATGCTTGTTCAATGAACCATAAACAATTAATGAACATGCACCTGTGGAACGGTCGTTAAGACACTAACAGCTTACAGACGGTAGGCAATTAAGGTCACAGTTATGATAACTTAGGACACTAAAGAGGCCTTTCTACTGACTCTGAAAAACACCAAAAGAAAGATGCCCAGGGTCCCTGCTCATCTGCGTGAACGTGCCTTAGGCATGCTGCAAGGAGGCATGAGGACTGCAGATGTGGCCAGGGCAATAAATTGCAATGTCCGTACTGTGAGACGCCTAAGACAGTGTTACAGGGAGACAGGACGGACAGCTGATCGTCCTCGCAGTGGCAGACCACGTGTAACAACACCTGCACAGGATCGGTACATCCGAACATCACACCTGCAGGCAGGTACAGGATGGCAACAATAACTGCCTGAGTTACACCAGGAACGCACAATCCCTCCATCAGTGCTCAAACTGTCCACAATAAGCTGAGAGAGGCTGGACTGAGGGCTTGTAGGCCTGTTGTAAGGCAGGTCCTCACCAGATATCACCGGCAACAACGTCGCCTATGGGCACAAACCCACCGTCGCTGGACCGGCAAAAATTGCTCTTCACTGACGAGTCGCGGTTTTGTCTCACCAGGGGTGATGGTTGGATTCGCGTTTATCGTCGTAGGAATGAGCGTTACACTGAGGCCTGTACTCTGGAGCGGGATTGATTTGGAGGTGGAGGGTCCGTCATGGTCTGGGATCGGTGTGTCACAGCATCATCGGACTGAGCTTGTTGTCATTGCAGGCAATCTCAACGCTGTGCGTTACAGGGAAGACATCCTCCTCCCTCATGTGGTACCCTTCCTGCAGGCTCATCCTGACATGACCCTCCAGCATGACAATGCCACCAGCCATACTGCTCGTTCTGTGCATAATTTCCTGCAAGCCAGGAATGTCAGTGTTCTGCCATGACCAGCGAAGACCCCGGATCTCAATCACATTGAGCACGTCTGGGACCTGTTGGATCGGAGGGTGAGGGCTAGGGCCATTCCCCCCCAGAAATGTCCGGGAACTTGCAGGTGCCTTGGTGGAAGAGTGAGGTAACATCTCACAGCAAGAACTGGCAAATCTGGTGCAGTCCATGAGGAGGAGATGCACTGCAGTACTTAATGCAGCTGGTGGCCACACCAGATACTGACTGTTACTTTTGATTTTGACCCCACCTTTGTTCAGGGACACATTATTCAATTTCTGTTAGTCACATGTCTGTGGAACTTGTTCAGTTTTATGTCTCAGTTGTTGAATCTTGTTATGTTCATGCAAATATTTACACGTCAAGTTTGCTGAAAATAAACGTAGTTGACAGTGAGAGGACGTTTCTTTTTTTGCTGAGTTTATGACTGTGTATGCCCAGTTCTCTGTTTTGAGCATGTCTACGCATGTCTGGTATTGTTTGCTGTGTCCACGTCTAGTACTTATGGACCCTGACCCTATTTTTAATTTAAATGATCTCATTTTTAATTGAAAGAAACAAGGGTAGAGTAAAAATGTCAGCAATGTATTTCTGATATGACCAGATCTTGATTGGTTATTTTAACCCAAACTCATCCAACCCACTTTTTTTTTAGTCTGGTCATTAAATCACTATTGCTTCTGTTAGTTTGCCTGATCCAAGGTGTTTTTTTCCAGTGTAGTCTACAGCAATGTTTCCAACTCCAGTCCTCGAATACCCACAACGGCAAATATTTTTGTGGCCCCAGACAAGCTCACCTGATTCAACTCATTGAGGGCTTGATGATTAGTTGACAAGTTGAATCCGGTGTGCTTGTCTGGGGCTACAGCAAAAAATGTGTTGTTGCGGGTACAGGAGGAAAGGAGTTGGTAAATACTGGTCTACAGTGTGGATCTGCTTGTCCATGTGTGTAAACCATCTCTTACCCTTTGGGGTTAACCCTACAGAGATGTGAGCGCCTACTACTTGTCCTTTCATGCAAAAGGTACAGCGTTGTCCTCTACAGACCAGCCAAGGTAATCGACAAGTGCAACTTACTGCATTCACATCCTCAACATCCCTCTTAGTATTGTCATAGATGGTGTTCGCTATTAAAATGTCACACATAATCACAGGAGACTTTTCATGTTTATTACCATGTAGGTTGCTGACATGACTAGTCCTTTTAATTAAGTATGACTTTGTTTTTCAACTGTCTGTGTTGGATATACTGTATACAATTGCAGTTTGATGTTAGTCAGTTGTCTTGCTTTGACGCTAGAGAAAAATAGTATTTTGACACTCTCCGTCTCCTTAGCTCTCTTCCCAGTCTTCTCACTACATCGACATCACCCTGATACGGGGACGGTTGCTGCAGAAACTGGTCCCCCCTTACCGCACCCCGTCGGAATTTGTGTCCGATGTCTGGCTTCTCCTCCACACACTGTTGAAAAGTGTGAAGGTGAGGAGACTCACAATGACTGTGTCCGTGTCTCCGCTCACCCTGATTTTGCTTATAGAGAAATACATATGATGGCTACAGTTGCATTTGTAGGCCCTCATTTCCAAATGATGGCTGTTTTCTTTGTCAAAATCCCCTAACTCCTACCTTTTCTTGTAAATTGTGAAACAATTTGTCAGAGCTTTGGGATTTGGAAAGCAGTACTCTATTGCTCTCTTTAGTCATCAATGATGATCTGGATCTTGCTCTGTTGCTCTTTCATCACCCTTTCCTCTTTCTCTGTCTCTCTTTCTCTGTATTCCAAGTCAGTGGACCGACTTCAGGCATGTTTTGGGAAGGAGCTGGGCAAAACGTTCGAGGGGACCCTGCACCCTTCGCTGCTCGTCAACCCCCACCGAGGGGAAGCGAAGGGCGGAGAGGAATGCGGAACAAGAGGGGGACATGGAGAAAGTGACCATGAGGAGAATCTGAGACCTCTTGAGGAAGAGCGCGCAGGCAAAGACATTTCACACAGGACTAAATGAAAGATAGAGAATGGAAAAGAAGCCTGTATTTGTATATATTGACTTGAATTGCTTGCTGAACATGTTTGTACATACAGTTGCCTCCAAATACATTGGAACCCTTGCACTTATCTTAAATAATTCTCTATTTATAAAATAACAAGAAATTGAAAAAGTTTTGTTCTCTACACCTTATTGAATTTTCAACATTGCAGAACCAATTTGTTTTATTATTATTGGTATATTTGGCCGCAACTGTAGTTGGTTACAAACACTGGGAATGAAAAAAGTGTTGTTTGTGTTTTTTGTGTGTGCATCTTATCTTTTGTATCTATTTAGAATAAACATATTTGCGCACATCTTATCTTGATCTATTTACAATAAACATTTTTGTGTGTATCTTATCTTTTTGTATACTTTGTTTGATAAAGTTTTGTAAACGTCTAAACTCAGTGAAAATCTTGCTGGACACTATTCAAACACAGGACCGTGTTAAGTTAAAATGTCCATAATATTACCACCACCAGGTGGCATTGGTCATCAGTAAATTGACTGAATGCAAAACATTGGTTACCCCATCATATAGGTCCTTCTGTCTTTGCTCTTATGACTGTACAGGGTGTGGTAACTTTAATTGCAAGTTATTTTAGCGTCTACTTGGTGTTTCTTTATTTTAGTAATTTTGGTAGACTATAAATGGTGTTCTGTTACTCCCAAGATTATGGTTTCAAATGAATTTATGTCCATTTAATAACTAAACTCCAACAACTGTGAAGATCAAATTGATACATTTGAAGGTTAGGGATTTATGCTATTCTGTACATAGCCGCGGGAAGTAGGGGTGCTGTAGCACCCCCTGAAAAATCAGAGTAAAAAACGATATATTAATAAAAAATATGTATTTTCTTTCTCACAAAAGTAGTGCACTGGGCCTTTAATAGTGCTGTATTAGCGGACCGATATAGCTGATGTAGTGCAGGCAAAAATATTTTTTCAGCAACCCCCCCCCCCCTTGAAAGTACAATTAAAAAATAAAACGCAGCACCTCCAAACTACTTCCCGCAGCTATGATTCTGTATTGTTAGATAAAGCGCATTGGCCGCTGACAAGCGCACAGTCCTCTCATTGGCCTGTAGGTTTTGTCCATCAGAGAACCTGGCCCGCCTACCCCTTATAAATTGCCAGACAGCGCAATCCAATATATTTTACACGTAGCGTATCGTCTACTTTGAACAGAGACACGGAAAACGTTGCGCCCGTTTGACAAGTAAGTCCGCCCGCTCGCCACTACAGCAAAACAATGGAAGGAAGTCAGCAAAAGGTGGAGGCTAATTTCTTACTGCTTGGAGCTGAAAGCGTCGGTAAATCTGGTGAGCACAATTTAAATAATCCTTGAACTTTAATTGCACTTTTATTCATGACATTGACAGTATTTGGGCACCATGAAGAGCATATTTTTGTGATCATTGAAAGTAGACGAGTTATGATGGCCAACTGCAACGTAGAATGTCTTTCCTGGTGTAGGCCTAATATATTTACTGATCAACTCATTAATTGCGCTATTTTCTGCCCTCAGCTCTCACGGTGCGGTTTCTCACTAGAAGGTTTATCGGCGAATACGGCGATATTGGTAAGTATTGGTCTTTTGACTTGAACCATTGGTAATGATATAATTGCATTCATATCAAAAGGTTACAGTAGATCAAACCAAATATCTAAATGATCCGTTATTTTTGCCTTTACAGAATCCATCTACAGTCATACTGACAGAATAGACGGGCGGGAGATCTGCTTCAATATCTGGGACTCACTTTGCCCCCAGGTGAGGCAAAACATCGTATCATGATAATAACGTCATAATGGTAACAACAAAGACTTTGACTAGTGGATACTCAAACAGGCAGAGCATTCTGGAGTTTTTCTATTAAACAAGGAGGTTAAACGGTTTACTAAATTTAATGTATTATGTCTTCATTTGTTTTAGAATGATGAGGGTGCAGGACACATCAGCGACAGACAACTCCAGTGGGCGGACGGTTTCATCCTGGTTTACAGCATATGTGACCGTGCCAGCTTCAACGTGGTGCGACAACAGGTGAAGCGCATCCGGCAAGCCAAAAGCAAATTCTCCGGCGCACCTCCCATCGTCATCGTGGGGAATAAACGCGACCTCCAGCATCGCCGCACGGTCTCCAGCGAGGAAGGACGCCTCCTCACTCTTTCCACAAACTGTGGCTTCTTCGAGATTTCTGCAGCGGAGACCTACCACGGGGTACAGCTGGTATTTCACGAACTGCTCGACCTTATCCGAGAAGCAAGGGCGCTCAAGAAGGGGGCAGCTGGGATTAAGGGTATCGTGAGAAGCATGTCCGCCGTTTTCGGGAGGAAGAGAACGGAGTAGTTCCAATAGCCTAATATGAGAGACAATGAGATGATAGTTATGCATCTAAACGGTCCAGGACTTGTTTGTGCGTGAAATGAAGTGGATAGTTACGTTTCCATATTGGAATAGGTCAATGCGGCCTAACTGAATTCACGCTGGTTGGATTCTTACTCAAATGAGAATATTGACAATCAAATCCCGTCGAACGTTTTGAGATGGGCCTTTGGACAACCTACTTACTGCAAAATAAATACTATTGACTGTCTATGAGGTCGGGTGCCCTAAAGTAGCATTACATGTCCAACTCGTTAGATTGCCTTGCAACATGCCATACAATTAATTGCCAATTTTAAAGCAAATGGTATCTTGTTTAAATGCCTGGAAGAAGTATTGTGGAAAACCTATGTGCAATAGACAAGCATTTCTTTCTCTTCACTAAGCTGTATCAGCATGCATAATGTTCTAAGGGTCAGGCCTGCTTGGTCTTATCATTGGCACAGTCCTTTTTTGGACTATTGACAATCTATGCAAGACAGACAAGAATGTGTAGCTGTTTCACTCATTATACTGGTGTGATCATTAAACTTGCTGCCTCAGTTAGTATACATGTAGCTTTGCTGTGTCTCCATCATGCCACCTACATCACACTTCAAGGCATCTTGAAAGGCCAGCCATTGGGGGACCATTCTCTGTTCATCTTTAGGAAGTTAATTAATGTCAATACCCTCTATTTGTCTGAGTGTGCTGTACATTTGATATCTTCGAAGAATGAAGAGGCCCACTTGATTTTTTTTCATAGGGGTGTTAATGCATGGGCAAACTTCTTATCTATTTCATTATACTACTGATTCTATTTAAAAAATGGTTTGTAACTTTTCATGACTGATGAAAACTGAAGTAATGTTTGTTATACAAGTCATTAGACTTTAACTGAACAAAGTGTACATACTACAGAACTTTGTCCTACGATTTCATAATAAAATGTGAAACAAATGTCTTTATATTTTTTCAAGCTCTGTTTGTCAAGCCATGCTGGAGATCATTTTTTAAATGAACTTTAAGAGGGGAGCATCTTCTCACACAATCCAGCTAGAGGTAAAGATTAACCAAACCATATCTTAATCCTCTTCACAGACACTTCACAAATTACTGACAGAAAAATGGATTGTCATTGAGCTGTCAATTTAGATCATCTCAACTAAGGTTTCCAAGGTTATTCGGACAGAAATCCATTAAATTCCATAATGTGAAGGGTAAAACACACCAAACTTAATGCGAAAGCACAAAAATTTGATATTCAAAAAAGTTATCCTTTATTGTGCTTACTCACAAATCAGAAATCTCTCAAAGAATTCTGTCAAAGCAGCCCCAAGATTGCTGAACTGAGCTTTCCAAGCCTAATCCCATAGACTCCCTATGGCAAAAGCAGCCAATCTAACCCCCCAGCACCCATCAATGTTGACCTCTTAACCAAGGTCAACTACAAGGGAAATGCAGTCAATCACCCTGAAGCCTGTGCACTTAAACTCTGCCCTTCAAAGCCATTTCCTCCACTGCATTCGACTTCACTGACCAAATGAAACCGGAACAAACGAACATCCTCATTCACATCAAAAGAGGGGAGCTCGTGGCACCTCATTGCCCCCTTATTTACGCTTTGTTTATACCTGGTCCTGTGTCCTGATGTTGTCCACATTCTGATTGTGCCCAGATGTGTCTACACATGTTGTTAAAATGTGTATTTTACATGTCCACTGTGTACTCATTGTGACCAGATTTCCTGGTACCTCCCTCTATGCAAATGATTTGACAGTTATTCTTAAAAATATATATACAGTGAGGGAAAAAAGTATTTGATCCCCTGCTGATTTTGTAAGTTTGCCCACTGACAAAGAAATGATCAGTCTATAATTTTAATGGTAGGTTTATTTGAACAGTGAGAGACAGAATAACAACAAAAAAATCCAGAAAAACGCATGTCAAAAATGTTATAAATTGATTTGCATTTTAATGAGGGAAATAAGTATTTGACCCCCTCTCAATCAGAAAGATTTCTGGCTCCCAGGTGTCTTTTATACAGGTAACGAGCTGAGATTAGGAGCACACTCTTAAAGGAAGTGCTCTTAATCTCAGCTTGTTACCTGTATAAAAGACACCTGTCCACAGAAGCAATCAATCAATCAGATTCCGAACTCTCCACCATGGCCAAGACCAAAGAGCTCTCCAAGGATGTCAGGGACAAGATTGTAGACCTACACAAGGCTGGAATGGGCTACAAGACCATCGCCAAGCAGCTTGGTAAGAAGGTGACAACAGTTGGTGCGATTATTCGCAAATGGAAGAAACACAAAATACCTGTCAATCTCCCTCGGCCTGGGGCTCCATACAAGATCTCACCTCGTGGAGTTGCAATGATCATGAGAACGGTGAGGAATCAGCCCAGAACGACACGGGAGGATCTTGTCAATGATCTCAAGGCAGCTGGGACCATAGTCACCAAGAAAACAATTGGTAACGCACTACGCCGTGAAGGACTGGAATCCTGCAGTGCCCGCAAGGTCCCCCTGCTCAAGAAAGCACATATACAGGCCTGTCTGAAGTTTGCCAATGAACATCTGAATGATTCAGAGGAGAACTGGGTGAAAGAGTTGTGGTCAGATGAGACCAAAATGGAGCTCTTTGGCATCAACTCAACTCGCCATGTTTGGAGGAGGAGGAATGCTGCCTATGACCCCAAGAACACCATCCCCACCGTCAAACATGGAGGTGGAAACATTATGCTTTGGGAGTGTTTTTCTGCTAAGGGGACAGGACAACTTCACAGCATCAAAGGGATGATGGACGGGGCCATGTACCGTCAAATCTTGGGTGAGAACCTCCTTCCCTCAGCCAGAGCATTGAAAATGGGTCGTGGATTGATATTCCATTTACATTGACATTACATTTATGTCATTTAGCAGACGCTCTTATCCAGAGCGACTTACAGTTAGTGCATACATTATTTTTTATTATTTTTTCATACCCCCTGTGGGAATCGAACCCACAACCCTGGCGTTGCAAACGCCATGCTCTATCAACTGAGCTACATCCCTGCCGGCCATTCCCTCCCCTACCCTGGACGACGCTGGCCCAATTGCACGCCGCCCCATATTCCAGCATGACAATGACCCAAAACACATGGCCAAGGCAACAAAGGAGTGGCTCAAGAAGGAGAACATTAAGGTCCTGGAGTGGCCTAGCCAGTCTCCAGACCTTAATCCCATAGAAAATCTGTGGAGGGAGCTGAAGGTTTGAGTTGCCAAACGTCAGCCTCAAAACCTTAATGACTTGGAGAAGATCTGCAAAGAGGAGTGGAACAAAATCCCTCCTGAGATGTGTGCAAACCTGGTGGCCAACTACAAGAAACATCTGACCTCTGTGATTGCCAACAAGAGTTTCGCCACCAAGTACTAAGTCATGTTTTGCAGAGGGGTCAAATACTTATTTCCCTCATTAAAATGCAAATTAATTTATAACATTTTTGACATGTGTTTTTCTGGATTTTGTTGTTGTTATTCTGTCTCTCACTGTTCAAATAAACCTACCATTAAAATTATAGACTGATCATGTCTTTGTCAGTGGGCAAACGTACAAAATCAGCAGGGGAGCAATTACTTTTTTCCCTCACTGCAGTCATTTATTTATTTGAAGATATATTTTTGCCATAAGTCAATGATTTTAGAGAGTGGTTTAAATGGTTTTACTTTCCAGGTCCGTCTACACTTGTAAGATATCCAGTGACAATGCGTGCGTGACTACCTCTGGAGATAGTCAGGAAGATCTGATCACATTCAGATCACAATGCGTCTTTTAACCGTCTACACCTGTCTTAAAATTTGGACTCAATCAGAATGTGGATCAGGATAAAGGATGCATGTTACAACCAGGTGTAAACGGGGCTAAAGAAGCGAAAAGTCCATGCCCACCTTCCATAACACACAGAGCCTCTCATGCTTCTCAATGTGTTCTCGTCCTTATCACCGCTGGTTGCCACAGGTTCACTGCGTGTCGCTGCCTGTCTGTCCCCTGCCAAGAAGCCTATTCTTCACTGACACTCCTCGTTTAGGTCCCACTCCTCGGACGTAACTACATTGGGATCACCGGGTCTCCTCCAGACTCTCCTTAACCTTTCCATGACATTTCTTGATGCTGTATGAAAATACTATAGATACATTAGAGTGGTCAAATTAGTGGATTCGGCTATTTCAGCCACACCCGTTGTTTTAAGGTGTATAAAATCGAGCACACAGCCATGCAATCTCCATAGACAAACATTGGCAGTAGAATGGCCTAACTGAAGACCTCAGTGAATTTCAATGTGGCAACGTCATAGGATGCCACATTTCCAAGTCAGTTCGTCATATTGCTGCCCTGCTAGAGCTGCCCCAGTCAACTGTATGTGCTGTTATTGTGAAGTGAAAACGTCTAGGAGCAACAACGGCTCAGCCGCGAAGTGGTAGACCACACAAGCTCACAGAACGTGACCGCCGAGTGCTGAAGCGCATAGCGTGTAAAAATCATCTGTCCTCGCTTGCAACACTCACTACTGAGTTCCAATCTGACTCTGGAAGCAACGTTAGCACAATAACTGTTCGTCGGGAGCTTCATGAAATGGGTTTCCATGGCCGAGCAGCCTAAGATCACCATGCACAATGCCAAGCGTCAGCTGGAGTAGAGTAAAGCTCGCCGCCATTGGACTTTGGAGCAGTGGAAACGCATACTCTGGAGTGATGAATCACGCTTCACCATCTGACAAATCTGGGTTTGGTGGATGCCAGGGGAACACTACCTGACCGAATGGAAGTGTCAACTGTAAAGTTTGGTGGAGGAGGAATAATGGTCTGGGGCTGTTTTTCATGGTTTGGGCTAGGCCCCTTAGTTCCAGTGAAAGGAAATCTTAACTCTACAGCATACAACGACATTCTAGACGATTCTGTGCTTCCAACATTGTGGCAACAGTTTGGGGAAGGCCCTTTGCG